TGGTGATGAGGCCTCTGTCCGTTGACCTTGGCATATTTTGATAAAGGTTTGCAGCTGCGCAGAGAAAAGAAAGCTAAGCAAGAAATAGAAACCTACGCAAGAATTTATACTCCTCCCTCATTTTATACAACACTAGAATGTAACACCTCCAGCTCGCTTCCCAGACTTTAGCCCCTCCTCCCCCCGTTACTTATGGCAGCCAAAAGATGCAAAGCAATAGTAGAAGATCTTGAAGGCTGACAGACACCTTATGCAAAATAATATGTAAAATATAATAATATTGTAAGTACCATGTTTTCCTGAAAATAAGACCCAACCAGAAAATAAGCCCTAGCATGATTTTTATGGTGCTAATATAAGTCCTATCCAAAAAATAAGTCCTGGTTAAGATCGTCAGCTCTGGGCATTTGTGGACAGCATAGGCGGCTAGCGCGTGCGGGCCGACTGTCCAGCAGGTGAGTCCCAGTGCTGCAACCACCAGGACAGCCCTTCCAAGCAGCAGGTGGAGGCAGAGGCACGGGGGGGAGGCATGCAAGCAGGCAAGCGAAGACAGATGGTGGGACAGAGTGGGCGGGTAGCCGCAGTAGGCTCGTCCCACATGTGTGGCAGAGCTGGAGGACTTTGGATGGCAGGGGTTGAGCACACGGGCTGCGACATGGCACCACCCCCACCCCGCCCCCTGCCTTACCTGATCCGTTTGGTGGTGGTGCTGCAAAACCTCACCAACAACAAGATTGCCAACAGAGATGCTGAGAAGAAGGAGGGGTAGGAGAAGGAGGAGAGTAAGGAGAGGAAAGGAAAAGCAGAAGGAAAAAAGCGAGGCCAAGAAAGAAGAGAAGAAGTAGTATTTGTAACCAGGTTTTCTATTTGTAAATTAAAAGCTTTAAATTGCACCAGGCTTCCCTGTCGGTGACTTGGAAGGGACCGAGAACCAGATGAGTTCATGGCTTCCTGAAATGTGCTTGCAGCAGCTGCTGGACATGGAGTGGGCAGCCCTGTGCCTCCACCCACAGCTGGTGCCGTTGCCAAGGTGGTGCCATGCCATGGCCCCTGTGCGCTCGGCCCCTGCCATCCGTTGTCCTCCAGCTCTGCCACACATGTGGGACAAGCCTCCCGTGGCCAGCTGCTCACTCCATCCTGTTGTCTGTCTTTGTCTGCATGCTGAATCGCGTGCCTCCCCCCCGTGCCTGTGCCTGCTGCTTGGAGGGCTGGCCCAGTGGTTGCAGCGCTCGGACTCACCCGTGCTGCATGGGCTGCAGAGCCTCAGAGCGCGCCGGCCAAGGGGACAGCGGGCTGTGGCTGCTGCCAGACACCCTTGGCCCCCATGCACTCACTGCCTCTTGTGTTGTGGGTGGGGTGCCCAGCCAGACTGATCACCCCGATACCGTGTTTCCCCAAAAATAAGGCTTAGTGTGACTTTTGGAGCAAAAAATAATAATAAAAGACCGGGTCTTATTTTCAAGGAAACACAGTAATTACTGTTCCTTAGTAAACAAATATAGCTAATAATTTAAAGTCTTTGAAGGCAGGCATGTAGGAAATGTTCCCCTGTTGTGAAATGGGAAACAAAGAACATTCTGTTTTAGAACATTTCCTGTATTTTTCATCTTTATCCAGTAATTTTCAAAATAATACATTAGTTCCTTAAGCTTTAAATAGAGATCCTAGGATTTCGCATCAACTGGCCAGAAGTTAATAGGTACAGAATTATGGATATAAAAAATTTAGATTAAATGTCTTTTTATGCTTTGCCCTATGCGAAATGAGAAAACATTTTCTTTGCCAATTTTATTACATTTTACAAAGCATACACAAAAAACCATTAACTAAAATAAAAAAATACAATAAAGAACAAAAAGAGAATGGGGATAGAAGTGTGAAATGGTATGTTTTATCCCTAAACTCTAACAAAAAGTTTCTAGTCTAAATTGTATATTTTCAGGTTTTCTTTAAATTACATTACTAATTTCCATCCAATGTTTTTTAGCTCTTTTGCAAGTCCACCAAAGGTGATATTTGAGTGTAACATTTCCAGCAACTATTTGGGGATCCTTTATACATTTTAGTCAATTTATCTGGGGATAATCCAGTAGGCACCACATAAATGCTATGCATAGAATAACCCAAAGCACACATTCTGGTGATAGAGAAGTTCCCTGAGAATGGACTCCAGCACAAGTCCAAAAGACAAAACCTCTGGTCCTGGTGACCGACCCAGATTGGATCCTGCAACATTATCCTGGAACATGTATATTTGCCTTCATTCATGAAGATTTTTTTGCCCTGGTTATCATGCAGTTTTTAACTAGTTCATCTTCTGTTTCCAATTTTAACAAATGTTTATACATTTTAGCCATAAGTTGTTCATCATTTGTACACAGTTCCGTTTCAAAGATAGTTTTAACATGTTTGGAATCATATACTTTATCAGCTTTAAATCTCCCTGTGATTTGCAAATACAAAAACTGTTGACAATTGAAACCTTCTAATGCCAAGTGTACTCTGGATTTTAATTTAATATCATATGTGGAGTAATCCAATAAATCTGCATACTTTAACCATTTTTGTCTGACCCTCATTTTCTTTCTCTAATATGCTTTGGGGGGAAGCCATAAAGGTACTTTTGGGCATAGTCTCATTTCATATGTATTCCAAATTCTCAAAATGACTAATAAAATGGTTTCTAAAATCAACATTAACTTTATCATACCTTAGGTACACATGCCTTCTAACATTTTCTGAAAGTATTTGCAACTAGCTTTTTAACATTTAAGTAACTACTAATAACTTTTTTTTAAGGATCTAAAAGGAAAAATGAGGGGATGGAAGTAGCTGAAACTAAAAAACAAAAACCATCTGCACATTCCTCAAGGCAAATGTTACCCAAACTTCCAAGTTCTATTGGCAACAACAAAAGAATTGGGAGCACAAAAGGAAAGCCAGTATTGGAATACAAGAGTGAGGGCTATCGAAGGTCTGACAGAAGTAAACCTTCAGATGGTTGTTAGGAATAACAAGGGTACCTAACATAGTTTGGGTAAAATAATATATATAAACTATGATTGTAAGTTTAAGTGTATGTCACTTTAAACTGCAAAGCATGTAATTTTGGGTGCGGTGTGAAACCGCCATAAGAGGGAGCAAGAGAACCTGTTTGATTGCTGAAGATTCCTGATGATTGATGGTTTGATGGATTGATGGTTTGCTAACTGCGTGTTTTCCCTACTGCTGAGTTGCTGAAGGAAGAGAGGAGTTTTGACTTCTTCATATCTCTACTGCGAGGAGATATATTACTGGACTGATATTTGTAAGTTTACTGACCTCTTTTTCAACACTGGAATTTGCAACTGAATAATCCCTGGACGGACTGAACTAGTGAATGATATATGGACTGTTTGACTATGCTATAACTCTTACTGGAATAAACTATTTAACTAGCACTGTGTAGCTGTTTTACTGAGTTTACTGAGCTACAAAAACGTTTATCTCACATATTTTGCCTGCCTGCCTGACTGCCGTGCAGATTCTGCTAGGGTGTATCCCTAACAATGGTGATAGAAAGATACGTATGACAAGCAGCTCCTCCAGTGATCCCTATGAGGGACAGCCTGAAAAGGCATGTATGAGGAAAAGGGATGTTGACAGAAGGGCTAAGTCTTCTACACCAGATGCTTCTGTAGTAAGTAATGGGTTGTGAATCTCTCTGTACTTAGGATCTTTCCTGCAATAATATGTTGCTTTATATTATTAGTTCCTTAGGTATTTCAGATGTTTACCTTCCTTGCTCAGTTTAAAGCAGGGGTCGCCAACCTTTTGGACCTCAGGGACCACCAATCTCATAATTTTAAATCCCAGGGACCACTAACCAGTTCTGTGGGTGTGGCCTAATTTGTGGGTGTGGCTTGGTCATGTGACTGGCTGGGCATGGCTTGTATGTAAATATTATAAATATTTATATAAATATTGAATTTTTTATAAAAAAAGAGCAACTTTTACCCAAAATCAGGCAAAGCAGGCAGGCAGATTGAGTTGCTCACAGAATCATTCAGTGATCTATCTGCCATCGGCTAGCTCAGTCTGTCACATAAAATTTGCTAGCAAGCAACCTCACAAAATTAACTCACAACACACCATGTATGTAAATATTGAATTTTTAATATAAAAAGAGCAATTTTTATCCCAAATCAGGCAAAGCAAGCAGGCAGATTGAGTTGCTCACAGAATCATTCAGTGATCTATCTATCTGCCATTGGCTAGCTCAGTCTGTCACATAAAGTTTGCTTGCCGTGAGTCTGCACTGAATAATAGAACCTTCAGTCCTAAGGGACTGATATAAAGACTAGCTAGAAAGCAAGAAATCCAACCATTTCCTGCTTCCTAGCTAATCTAAATCTCCCAGCACAGCAGAACAGCTGATGGTTGGAAAAATAGCAATTTAGCAGGCAAGTTTGCCAGGTAAGGAATGAGTGGGCAGGGAGGGTTCCCGCGGGCCATGTGGGTGGCGTAGCCTTGTGTTTCTGCACAGCCTGGATTAATTGTTTTTTGGCGGGGTGCTTTGGGAGTGAGATTTCTCTGTGGCCCACCAAAATTTTCTCGCGGCCCACTGGTTGGTGACCACTGGTTTAAAGTACACCGTGTGCACAATTATTAGGCAAGTTGTATTTTGGAGGATTAATTTTATTATTGAACAACTACAGTGCTCTCAGTCAATCTAAAATGTTGATAAACCTCAAACCTGAATATTTAAGAAAGTAAAAGTGAGGTTTTGGCTTTATTAAGAGAATATCTATGTGTGCACAATTATTGGGCAACTATTATGCAACTAAATGAAAAAATGAAAATTTGCCCATCTCATTCATTTATTTGCATCTGTTGTGAGGATAATAAAGAACTCAAAATGTACAAATAAACATTTCTGACATTTCAAAGTAGTCCTCGAGGTACAATCCTAATGGAGCCTGCCCATTAGGTTCCTAAGTCAAAAAATTAGTCAATGAATCAGACTCAATTTAAATTTTTTTAAAATCAAATTCATTAATTGAATCAAATGGCTCATTAAATGAATGAAGATCTAACTTACTTCCCGCCTGGCTGCCAATCAGCTGTTTCTGCCACTGATCAGGTGTTTCTGGTATAGCCGAAGTAGGAACTAAATTGCCTCCAAGCAGACTCACAGAGCTCTCATTTTGCAGTTTTTTTTTTAAAAATCCACTTGCTGCTAATTAGCTCGAGCGTCTTCAGACAGCTGCTCAGAGGTGGGGATGTGATGGTAATTTACAGAACTCTCAGATTGCAGTTGCTTTAAAAAAACCCACCTGTCACCACCCAGGCACCAAGGTAGCTGGGAATTTACAGAACTCTTGGCTTGCAGTAGTAACAGATATGGAAGGGACCTTGAGGTCATCTAGTCTAACCCACTGCTCTCACAAGAGTATTTCTGATAAATGCCTGTCCAGTCTCTTCTTAAAAGCCTCAATTGATGGGGCACCAACTTCTGGAGGCAAATTAGATTTGAAACCTCTTTTAAAAAAACACTGCGCTGATCAGCACAAGCCTCTCCAGGCAAAATCCAAAATGGGCTGCTGTGGGGTATTTACATAACACTCCTATTGCAGTTGCTTAAAAAAAACTTGCTGCTAATTAGCTTAACAGTCTCCAGCCAGGCACCCAGAGGGAAATGGGGGAGGGATTTACAGAACTCTTGGCTTGCAACAGTAAAAGAGATGGAAGGGACCTTGAGATCATCTAGTCCTGTGATGGCGAACCTATGCTACGTTTGCTGGAAGTGGCACGCAGAGCCATCTCTCAGGGCACGTGAGCCATTGCCTGTTACTCTTCTGGGTTCCGGCGTGAAGCCCGGCCAGCTGGTCTTCACGCATACGGGAGCATCAGAAACCAGAACAGCAGCTCCCTGGCACACATGCATGAAGCGGCCGGCTGGTCTTCGCATGTGCATGCACATTAGAAACTGGAAGACCAGGTGGCCAGCGCACATGCGCGCGCCAGGAAGCTAAGCTTCTGGTTTCCAGTGCTCCCGCACATGTACCAGGGAGCTGCTCTTCTGGTTTCTAGTGCTCCTGCATGCGTGAAGACCAACTAGCTGGGCTTCGTGCTGGAACCCAGAAGAGTAGCTCTGTTTTCACTGGCAGAGGGTTGCAGGAGGCCGTCTCAGCCTAAAATGGAGCCCGCAACACCTCCAACACAAGTGATGTCATGCTGGCCACACCCACCTCAGCCACACACACCCCGCCCCCCCGAGGTCAAACACAACCCTGATGTGGCCCTCAATGAAATTGAGTTTGACACCACTGCTCTAAAGGAACCCCTGTTTCTGGGGGATCACCTGTATAGCCACTCTTCTTTTTGATAACAGTCATAAGTCTTCCATTCATGGAGTCTGACAGTTTTTGTGCAGCAGCAACCACGGCCTCCCAGACACTGTTCAGAGAGGTGTGTTATTTTCCTTCACTGTAAATCTCCCATTTAAGAAGGGCCCACAAGTTCTCAATAGGGTTTAGGTCAGGTGAGGAAGGGGACCGTGTCATTATTGTTTCATCTTTAAGGCCTTTACTGGCTAGCCACGCAGTGGAGTACTTCAATGCTTGCGATGGAGCATTGTCCTGCATAAAAATCATGGTCTTCTTGAAAGATGCAAACTTTTTCCTGTACCACTGCTTGAAGAAAGTGTCTTCTAAAAACTGGCCGTAGGTTTGGGAGTTGATTTTGAGTCCATCTTCAACCCAAATACCAGCCCATACCTGTACACCACCTCCACCTTGCTGGCCTCTGAGTTAAAGTGGAGCTCTGTGCCTGTTCCTGATCCAGCCCATCCATCTGGTCTGTCAAGAGTCACTCTCATCCAGTGGTGGGATTCAAATTTTTTAACAACCAGTTCTTTGGGCATGCCTAGGTGGGCATGGCCATGTGCCTGGGTGGCCGTGGCTTCTTTTTTTTTTTGCAGCACCCCCCACACTCTGTTTTGGAGTCTCCTGGGGGAGCGTTTTTGCTCCAAGGAAGGAAAAAAAACCCCTACACACACCACCACCACCCCGCCCCTTTTTGCCTCCTGGGCCTCAGGGAAACCTCCTGGGAGAAGCAGTAAGATGGCGAGGGGGATCCCAGTACAGCTGATCATTAGAACAGCTGATCATTGGGAAGGGAGAAAAAAAGAAATACCTTAAGGAGTGACTGGGCCGGGGAGAATGCAGTCAGCGATGTTGGGCATGCGCACGATGTCACGCATGCATGATACTGACTGGCGAGGAGAGGGGCGGAAAGGAGTGGAGCCAGCCAGGGGCACGATTTGCCGATTCTCCGAACTGCACAGAATCATAACAACCGGTCTGAACAGGTAGAATCCTACCCCTTCTCTCATCTCATCAGTCCATAAAACCTTTGAAAAATCTGTCTTCAGATATTTCTTGGCCCAGTCTTGCTGTTTCAACTTCTGTGTCTTGTTCAGTGGTGGTTGAGTTTCAGCCTTCCTTACCTTGGCCATGTCTCTGAGCACTGAACACCTTGTGCTTCTGGGCACTCCAGGTAGGTTGCAGTTCTGGAATATGACAGCACTGGAGGATAATGGGTTCCTGGTAGCTTCACTTTGATTCTTCTCAAATCTTTGGCAGTTAATGTGCGCCTTTTTTTTCAACACATTTTTTGCAACCCTGTTGATTATTTGCAACAAAACATTTGATGGTTCTGTGATCACACCCCAGTATCTTAGCAATTTCAAGTGTGCTGCATCACTCTGAAAGACTTTTTACAATTTTTGACTTTTCGGAATCAGTTAAATCTCTTTTTTGGCCCGTTTTGCCTGAGGAAAAGAAGCTGCCTAATAATTATGCACACTTTGATGTAGGGTATTGATCTCCTTAGGCCACACCCTCCCTCATTACACAAATACACATAACCTGATATGCTTATATCCACTAGGCATTCAAGTTTATACAGCTTGGAGGTGGGAAATATGCATAAAAATGATATGGTCAAAATACTCATTTGCCTAATAATTCTGCACACAGTGTAGTAACAATATTTGGCTTTTACCATGTTTCTCCAACAATATGCCCCCCCCCATAGGAAGGGCCAGCATGGTTTCTAGGCATGAGGTGAAATTAAGCTCCTCCCCTGAAATTTGGGCCTATTTAAAACATGCAAAATGGGAGGCAAGGGCAGGGGGAACTTGCCATTAGGAGCGGCCCACAGGCAGCTGCGCCTTGCCACCAGCTGCTCCTAATGGCCGATCATGGCGGAGTGCGGAGAGCTCCCTACCCCCGCCAAGCACCTTTGCTGCAGACCCGGGTATGGTGCTGACTGCAGGACAGGTCAGCAGGTGGGCGGTGGCAGCATGGATGTCGGCCTTGGCAGTGGCGGGGCAGTTTGCATCGTGGGACCTTTGTTGGCCACCGCTGCCACTTCCTCCATCGCTGCCGCTTTCCCTTCTGCCCTCGCCGCAGCTTATGCCATGTTCAGAGTGCTGCCATTGAGCAAGACGCAGAGGCCGGAGTCCCTGCTGGACATTGCGGCACGGCGGTAGCAGAGAAGTGGCCCTTCCAGCGGGTGGAGGAACAGTTCGAGCACATTGCTCCACCACCAGTGTTTCAGCCGCTTCTCGGGCAGGGGAGCCACCTCTGTAGCTTCCACAGTTCCCACCGGTGGTGGGGCCTCTCTCACCAGTGCCGTCTCCAACAACAGCAGCAGCAGTGGCGGGACAGACCCCACTGCTGACGAGAACCACCTGCCCTCCCACAGGGGCATCGCTTTGCTTGATGGCAGCTGCATCAACAATGTCCTGCAAGTCAGTGAGTCATTCGGGCTTCAGTGGGTGGAAGCGGCTGCGGGAGGGTGATGCCATCGTTTCTCTCCCCCCCCCAAAGACGCCTCACTTTGCTTCCTGCCCCAGAGCTTTGGGTCAGGGTCTCGTCACCTGTACAGTCGGGAGCTCTCCTCTTGCTCCAGCTGCCCAACCCCCCCCATGGACCTTTTCCCCCTTCGAGCAGAGGCAAACCTTCCAATCCTTCCAATCTAAACATAAGAGAAAGGGAATCATCCTACAGACGGTTAGCACCCCCTTAAATGCACTCCCCACCTTCATCTCCTTGAAGGACAGAAATAGGATGGAAATCCACCTCCTGGATTTCTCCTGGCAAATCCCAAAGACACTCTTCCCTCTCTCCCTTCCTTCCTCCCTCCCTCCTTCTTTCCCTGCCAAGCTTCCCAGAGGATTCTCCTGCTGATTTATTCATTCATTCATACTTCTACGGGGTGGGTGGGGTTCAGGCGGCTGGAGCAAATGGAGAGTGCCCGACTGTACAGGTGACGAGACCATGACCAGATCCTCCTGTCGGCAGCGGGATCTGTCCTGCCACTGCTGCCACTGTTGCTGGAGACGGTGCTGGCGAGAGAGGCGCCACTGCCGGCGGGAACCATGGAAGCTATGGAGGCGCTCCCCAACCCGAGAAGCTGCTGAAATGCTGCCAGCAGAGGAATGCTCTCAAACCATTCCTCCACCTGCTGGAAGAGCTACTTCTCCACTACTGTCGCGCCGCGATGTCCAGCAGGGACTCTGGCCTCTGCATCTTGCCCAATGCAGCACTCTGAACACAGCATAAGCCGCGGTGAGGGCAGAAGGGAAAGCGATGGCTGCAGAGGAAGCAGCAGCGGTGGCCGATGAAGGTCCCACAACGCAAAGTGCCCCACCGCCACCGAGGCCAACATCCACGACAACGCCCTCCCACTGACCCATCCTGCACCCAGCACCATTCCCGGGTCTGTAGCAAAGGCACTTGGTGGGGGTAGGGAGCTCTCCACGCTCCGCCATGATTGGTCGTTAGGAGCAGCTGGTGGCAAGACATGGCTGCCAATGGGGCACTCTAGGCGAGGGTGAGCAGGGGAGGGGGAATTAAGTCACCCCTGAAAGGACAGCCTAGCCATTTTTTCAGGAGTCAAAAGAAAATAAGGCCCAGCCTTATTTTCTGAGAAACACGGTAATTTTTATTCTGTTCTCAACTGTGTTTAAAGAGACATTTGTTTTTTTAAACTGAATAAATAATACATTGCAGTCTCATCAAATAAGTCTTTAAAGCAAGTGCTTAGAGCTCTTTATCTTAAAATAGGCATTGATTGGTGATTGTGTTCTATAAACAAAGACTAAAGCATGATGTGGATAGATGGCCAAACAAGTCGAGCCACTCTTCAAAAGAAGAAATAAATTCTGAGGACTATGGTTCAGACCGTGAAACAGGTAGTAGTGGTTCCTCTGATCCAGGAAATACTGAAAATGAAGAAGAGGAAGAGGAGGAGGAAGGAATGGAGGAGGAAGATGAGGAAGACAAAGAGGAAGTTGATGGAGAGGAACAAGAGGAAGTAGAAGATGGAGATGATGAGGAAGAAGAGTATGATCGAGATGAAAGAGAGCAGAAGGAGGGAAATGATTATGATATGCGAAGTGAAGCTAGTGATTCTGATTCTGGATCTGCATCCTTTACTGATGGGTCAGTCAAAACTGGTTCAGGCTCAGATATATCAGGTAGGAAATATATAAATATATGTTGTCGGTAATTACTAAATCAGTAATACTGAAGTAGTTCAAGATAACCTGTGGGTGGCGGGGGTGGTGGTGTCTGGCCCTAAAGTCAGGTTTGTGTAGTCTTGTAACACCATGTCTAGGTCATCTAGAACTACTTCCAGTTTGGAGGATTTACTTCCAGATTGATAAATTGTGAGGGGAAAATTAGCATAGTCCCAAAGAGAACAGAGAATTAAATATTTTCTCAAACATTCTATTCCTGAATCAATGAGGTTGAGTCAGTCTATTAGCCATATATGTAGTACTCAGCTAATGACTACTCATTCAGTGACTGCTTGAAGTTACGGTAGTGCTGAACAGTGGTACTTATGACTAGTTTTTTTTTCTGTACATGCATTTACTAGTTCTTATTTTGTATAAACAATGTGATCGGAATAATCACATATGACAAGTAATTTGATTGTGTTTTTCAGTGTTTAATCTCAGCTATTTCAGTGTTGCTTGAATATATCAAGCTTTAATTTCACTTTGGAGGGAAAAGATCTAAATACTTTTCACAGTGGGAAGGTGAAATAAACACCTACCATTCACTCTTGTTCTGAGTGTTCAATATTTCTGATGCGGAATTTGTAGCCATCAGCCTCCAAGAAGTTTTCCTGACATCTTTTGCTGCTTGATTCTTGTCGGCTGCCATAGAAACAGGGGGAGGGGTAATTTGGTATTTGGGGAGGAAGATTGCTGGAGTGCGAAGACGTTCCTGTGTGAACTAAAAAGGAGGGGATGCTTTCCTGCTTACTGCGCAACTACATAAACTCTACTAAGGTCAACCATCTTGGCATACCAGATGAGTGAGAAACAACCTGAAGATGTACCCCACATGACATTATACACACCTCAGATTGGATGACCAGTCTGGACTCCTGGGGGAGGGAATTTGGGATAACTTTCAATATGTAATTTCCGCACCTATTTGCCTCAGATCTCGCTTTTCTTTTGTTGCTATCATTTCAAAACCAGTAAAAGTACTTTTCTCTATTTTAATGGAGTCTAAGGATTTCTTCTTGGATTTTGAATGGAGGCACAGCTGACATAAAGCAAGATCTCTCTTTACCAGCCCACCCAGAGATTAACCTCTGCCGTGGGATTTGAAGAAATAATGTCTAACCAAGGCAGTGATCAAGAAGATTTGGCATCTGTTGGATCTATTCCTTCATAGCTCCTTTGCAGTCAAGGGGAAGCCGAGCTGCTGTCTGCATTGCAGATTGAGGAGAAGCCGGTGGTTCATCCCAATTGGTCTTTGAGAGTAAGACAGATGGAAATACTGGAAGAGCTCCCCGCTGGGGTAACGGCTGCCAGACACCAGCGGGGAGAAGCTACCTGGCAGGAGGAAGACAAAGAAGACCTCCTGCTGACCCAAGCTTTGCATTTATTGCATGAAGCTCTAGAGAATCGGAGAGCTAGAGAAGAGACTGGTGAAGCAATAAGGGGGGGCAGAAGCCTCTGCAGCCCCAGAAGTGTTTCCCATAGCCCAGCTGAGGCCAGTGCAGGCTGCAGGAATGCCAGTGGCTGCTATAATTGATCTGGCCAGAAACAGATGCAGGGGTGGCCCCAACTGAAGTAAGCCTCCACATACCGCTCCAAGAGAGACACCTAAAGCTCAAAAGAGTGGGTCAGTGGTTTCCAGTTTGAAGTCTCTTCAGCGACAGACAGAAATCCGCGATCGTGCGTGGTTTCGGTCTGGGCTCGCCGCTGGAGCACCCTGAGCTGGCTGGTTTTGGGGCTAAGCCACCCCGTAGAGGTGGTGAAGAGGGGGGAGACCACCAGCAGGGTCGAGGAGAGCCGCATCTCTCCTCCTCAGCTGGCCATTACTCCCTTTCCCGAAGGCGGTTGCAGTGGTAGTCAGAAATGGCCACCACAAAGAAGAACTCGACCGGAAAAGAATGTGCAGGAGGAAGATAAGAAGGGAAAGTTTTGGCTGACTGGGTTAAATTGTGAAAGCAACAACTAAGGTACCCTGGAATTTAAACTTATAAAAAAATAACATCGCTCCCAAAGAAGAGTCGGAAGCAGCGAAGGAAAGTGAAAAGGGAAAGGTTTGCCTTTTTTTTTTCTTCTCTCTCCTTCCCTATACTGACAACTAAGAGACTTAAATAAGAAATCGGAAAAATCCGCTTTGATCAATAGGCAATTAAGCTGAAAATAAAACAAAATGCCAAAGGGATAATAAAGATTTCTGGACACTAAAATAATTTTTTTCATAAGCAGGAAGGGAGAGAAAAAAATAAGGGCAGGATCTGGAAGAGGGAGGAGACTGCCTGGAATTAAAAAGAATCTACAGTAAAACTTCAACAAGACTTCTAAAAGATACATTTTAACAGAAACTTTGCAACTAAATAGTAACCCCAGGAAGAGAAAGTGAAAAAAAAAGAGCAAAAAGAAACAGCTTGCGTGTATTTGGATTATTTGGTGATCTTTGGATTCTTGGTTATTACATTTAAATGACTAAAATTAATCGGGTGGTTGTTTAAAAATTTATACAATGGCACCACTTCTGAATGAATTGAAAATGGAACTTAAAAAGTACAAAGAAGATGCACAAGAAGGGAAGGGTTCTTTTGGCTTCGTTTTTCAATTCTTAGAAATGGAGATTTGGAACTATGAGAAACAACAAGAAACGTCTGCAAAACAAGAAGACTGGGACAAAGAAGAAGCCATCTTTAATGAACAAGCACTTTTATGTGGAGATGAAAAAGGAAAGGGGGGGAAGAGAATGGAGAATTTAAGATTTAAAAAAACAACCAAAGAAAAGAAAAATAATTCAAAAAATAAGTATAATACTGGAAAGCAACAGAAAAGGGGAATACAGAAGAGAGAAATAGAGGTAGAGAGACAAGGGGGTAAAAAGGGGAGAGAGAAGAAGAGAGGGAAGAAGGAAAGGAAAAGAAGTTACAAAGGACCGGAGCAAGATATAGAGAAACAGGACCTATTTAGAGATAATGGGTGAAAATCTAACTGAAAAAGGGATTCTGTAAAGGTACATAAGATTGTATTGTTACATTAGTAATAGAAATAACTTTAGAAAATTGGAAACAATGTTTGATTAAAATGAGGGATAAAATAGTTCATGTAATTTAGTGAAATGTTTATTAATAAAATAAGTGAAATAAAATAAATGAGAAAATTGAATTAGGAAGGAACAGAAACATTTTAATTAGTTAATGTTTTATAAAATGTAAGTGAAGGGGGGGGGAATTTACTATGGAAAGCTTATAATTGTTCCCATAGAAGTATGATATTTAATTGAAAAGTAATGTTAAAGATGTTAAGACTTAAATGAATATTAATATTAATGATAGAATTGAATTGGAATGGAATGTTGTTTTAATTATATACATTTATAATTTTTTCTTTTTTTAAGAATACAGTGTGTATTTTAAGAATGTACCAAGCAGAATCCGAATGGAAGTTATGTATTATATTGAATGTTACAACTTTAGGGAAAAGATATAAAGGCGTCATACTCCAATCAGTAACTACAGGATAAATTTTGTTTAATGAGAAAAGATAATAGATAATTGAAACAGGACAGACAAAAAAATATAAATACAATGATTTGAATTGAGATGAGATAATTAAAATAAAATTGAGAAAATTAAAAGAGGGGAGAAGCTATGCAGAAAATGTAAAATAGTAATAAGATATGGAATAGAATATAAAAATGAGCATGAACTTGAATTTGTGGCTGTACGAAGAAATGTAAGCCGGGATTACGCTACTTTCAAAAAAGATGTTTTATTTGTATTTTTTTTCTTTTTGTGAAAACTCAAATAAAATTTACAAAAAAAAAAAAAGAGTGGGTCAGTGAAACTCAAATCCACAGCATGCTTCTGATGCATAAAGGAGGGTTATCGAGCTGCTGATTGCTGCACTAAACTGAGTGTCAAAGGAACATCGGTCGGAGGGAAGAAAGTCGAAAAACCTCCAGCCAAGCAGTGTGAAACGGCCTTGAAGGCCTCCTCTTACTTGGATTACCCTGGCTTCAGAAATGGAACCCTCAGGTGGACAGGAGGAAGTCGTTGAGTTCGCTCCTCCGGGAAAAGAGGAGTTGGGAACTCCGACCACTTCGGGTGAGAACAAGTCTGATTCCGACGACGACCCCCTGGTAAGTCAACAATTGGGCCCCATGACCATCCCAGTGGAATTAAGGGTGCCTTCGTACAGTGGCCAGGGGAAGATGTTAGCCCTGTTGGACTCTAGGTGTACCAGATGCTTAATTAGCTCAGAGGACATGGACAAACTGGGGTTGAGACTAAGAACGTTGAAAACACCCATAGCATTTTGCCAGTTAGATGGATCGGTGGCTGGGGGTGGCCCAGCTCATTTTGTAATGGAGCCAGTGGAAATGTCGATGGGGAAACACCAAGAGACATTGTGTTTTATCGTGGCCCCGGGGATGGAGAGCGCCCTGTTAGGAATATAAGTCACCTAACAGGTATTGGGGTTGGAAATATATAAACCAGGATAGACATTTTAATACTGTCTCTTTAAGAAAATGTAAAACTGTAATTGGGTGTGGTTTCTCAAATGGCCATAAGATGGAGCCAGAAACCTGGGTTGTTTAGTCTTAGTCTCAGAAGAAGTCTCAGTGATTCTCTGTTTCCTTCTGTTGGAGAGTTTTGCCGTTCCTCTTAATTGACTGATATTCTTGGATTTGATGTAAGTCTGTTACTGAACTGTTTTTGACACTGGACTTTGTTATTGGATTATCCCGGGACTGAAAATTGACTGCCTTACCTGTGAATGACTTTGGACTGCTTATCTTGAACTTTGCTTAAAAGTTTATGGAAGTAAAAACCTACATTTACTGTACAGTGTATCTGTGTGCTGTGTGTGTATTATTCAAACACTTCTCTCACTATGTCTCCCTGTATGCACTCATTCTCCTAATGGGGAATTACCTCAACACCCCCTCTTACTTCCTGGCTTCGGAAATGGAACCCTCAGGTGGACTGGAGGAAGGGTCTGCTGAGCATTTGTTCCACCCAGCTGCAGGGGGGGAAACCCCTAGTAAGGCCCCAGGACACCAAGGAGCTGGCATCAGTAGCAAGTGAACACATTGCGGGCAAGGAGAAAATTTTGAAAGAATATTGGGACCTCAGGAAGGATTTTAGTGAGAAGGCTTCGGACATGCTCCCACCCCATTGCTTCACAGATTGCAGCATAGAGATCCTTCCTGGAGTGAAACTCCCAAAGCAAAAACTGTATTCGATGACACCACAAGAGCTGGAGGAATTGCTGTCTTTTATTGATAAAAACCTAAAACAGGGTTTCATTCAACCTGCTAGGCCCCGAGTGGTGGCCCCAGTGTTGTTCCAAGAAAAAAAAAGATCGCTCTTATTGTTTATGCATGGATTATAAAAACTTAAACACCATTTGCATGGAAAACATTTACCTGCTCCCCTTAATGAAGGACATGTTAGCTCATCTAGCCAAGGGACAGATTTTCACTAAGCTTGATTTGAGAGAAGCTTGCTATAGAGTTCAAATTAAGGAAGGGGATGAATGAAAGACTGCATTTAATTGCCCTTTGGGTTGCTTTCAATTTAACGTATTCCCATTTGGTCTGCAAGGAGCCCCCGCCGTATTCATACAACTGATAAACGAGATGTTGCACGAACATCTATACAAGGTGGTGTTGGTTTACCTGGTGATATTCTTATATATACAGATACCATGGAGGAGCACATAAAGTTGGTGCGATCAGTTTTGAAAAAACTCCAGGCTGCCGAACTGTATGCGAAGCTATCTAAGTGTGAATTTCACCAAGGGAAAATTGACTATCTGTGGTATTGCATATCACATGAAAGGATAGAAATGGATCCAGAGAAGGTCCGAACACTTTTGGAATGGGCTCCCCTGCGCACCAGAAAACAGTTGCAAAGTTTTCTAGGTTTTGCTAATTTCTACCGTCAATTTATCCCAGCTTTTGCAAAGATTGCGTTGCCCATTACAAACCTCCTAAAGACAAAAGGAGAACTAAAACTAAAGCCTAATCGACCTTTGGAATGGTCCATGGAATGCCAAGCGGCTTTTGAGAAACTAAAACAACTATTTGCAGCCGAACCTGTTCTTAAACACCCAGATATGGATGCTCCCTTTGTAATCCAGGCTGGTGCAAGTGACGTTGTTGTGGGAGCAGTCCTATTACAAGCAAATGCAAATGGGACTTTACAACCTTGTACTTACACCTCCCGAAAACTAACTGAAACCGAACAGAGATGGGCTATTTGGGAGAAGGAAGTGTTTGCCGTCCAATGGGCATTATTAACTTGGAGACATTTCCTTGAAGGAGCAAAACACCCCTTTGAGGTGTGGATGGATCACAAAAACCTAGAGGCTTTAAAGACCCCACAAAAGCTGTCACCCAAGCAAATTTGTTGGGCACAATACTTTAAGCAGTTTAATTTTTCATTAAAATACCTGCCAGGGGGAAAGAATTTTATGGCCGATGCTTTATCTAGATTGCCCCAGTAGCATCCAACCTGAAGTGATCTGTCCTATTGTCCCTACTAAGCAACTGGCTGTTCCAGTGGTCACCAGAGGCCAGGGGGAAAGGAATGTTGACCTTTCAAATGATTTAACTGAACAGTTAAAAGGAGCTTTAAAATTCGATGATTGGTTTTCATCCCACTCAAATGAATGCACTATTCGTGATGGCCTAGCATTGGTGCGGGCAAAGTTATACGTCCCTGCTAGTCTTAGAGGAGCCATTCTAAAACATGCCTACGATTCAAAAGTTGCTGGACATTTTGGGTTCGTGAAAACCCTACACTTAGTTAAACGGCACTTTTGGTGGCCATCTTTAAAAAAAGACATAGAAGCTTATGTCGCCAGTTGTCCTGTATGTGCTTCGGCAAAACGACCCCCTGGTAAACCAGCGGGTCTGCTACAGAATGTTGCTAGGCCGAGTGCCCTATGGAAGGAAATTTCCATGGATTTCATTCTGGAATTACCTGAGAGTGGGGGAAATACAGTCATTTGGGTGATTACTGACCTATTTTCCAAACAGGTACACTTTGTACCCTGTGCAAAGATTCCCTCTGGTACAACATTGGCTAAACTGTTTATTCTACATGTGTTATAGGCTACATGGTGTTTCTGAACATATAATTTCAGATAGATGGGTACAATTCACTTCTAACTTCTGGAGAAAATTTTTGAAGTTACTAGGGTCTGCCCAGGGCTTAAGCTCCACCCACCATCCTCAAACTAATGGGGCTTGTGAACAGACTAACTCGGTACTAGAACAATACCTTAGATGTTATGTAAATTATCAGCAAGATGACTGGTCTGATTTATTGCCTTTTGCAGAGGTGGCTTATAACTCCATCCATAGAAGCACTGGATTCACCCCATTTAAAGTAGCTAGTGGTCAGGATTTTGTACCCATTCCAGAGCTACCTCAGGAGAAACCCCAAATCCCATCACTGGCAGAGTGGATAACCCAGCTCCAGCTTACCTGGCCGGTTACCTGTAAAGCATTAGATGATGCTTATCAAACCATTGATAAAGGAATTTCCTATGTGATTCTGTTATTCAAGTATTACCATTGGGGCTTTCAAACATGCAAATGAGGCAACTACAGTGAATTTGTATGTGTAGATTAAGACCTAATTTAGGTATGCAACTATGTTTATAAATAAGAATATACATAATTGCATTACAGCTATGACTGAAAAAGTGTTGATATTCTAAATGAAGGTTAATGTTTTTTTTTAACTTTAAGCACTAGCCCTCACATGCACACACACTCCAGGAGTTTCCCTGAGTTTCAAATGCAGCTCTGGCAGGCAATGTTTCTGGTCAGAGCAAATGGTCTAAACTTCTTGTGCTTTGGGAACTAATGTCATAGTTCTCTGAATTCTGACCTAATGAAGAAAGATTATTGAAGCAGATTTTATACCTTTTGAGAGTCAACTGTATACTTAAATGTTGTGGCTCCGGGCTTGGATTCAGCTCCTGTGACTGATATGAGTTCAAGTGAGGAGGTCATGGCAGAAAAATATGAGCCGGCATGGCTTAGTGATTGGACTGATAACCAGGATGAGGAGATGGACGTGACAAAGGATGACAGACCTGATGTATTAGAATTGTCAGGACCTTTGACCTCCTCTGGTTCCTTATCTGATCAACAGCCGGGAATGGCTGACAGGGAAGTTTTGAGAGAGTCTTCTAGTGGAGATGAGAACTTGGAAAATTTGTGGTTAAATGTAAAAAATAGAAGACGGTTGAGAAGGCAAAATCAGCTGGAGCGAATGAGGAGAGCGAGTCAGTAAATTAGCACGTTGCCTCAATGAGTATAAAAGGACACAGCTGGGCTGGTACATTTTGCCAGGAACAAAGTGACTATTTGAGTGAGGACGTTACAGCAAGGAGCTCTGAGACTGGAGATTTATTGCCAGGACTGGTTTGCCGGACAGAGTAAAGATTTATGCTGTGGTTTCTGCCAGCCGTTATCTTGTAAGACTTCTTTCCGTTTGATTTAATTGTGAAACGGCTGCTTTCTGTTTTGTTCGTTTGAATTTTGAAGGGGAGTCATAACACTTAAATATTTCAAATAATATTTTCTTGCAAATGCTTCTTTTTGGTTTGAACTTTTAAAGAACTGCAATTGCTTATTTTGATGATCTTAGATGAGAAAAAGAAGGCCAGGAAAAGAGCTAGAGGCATCTCTCCAATTGTTTTTGATAGAAGTGGAAGCTCTACATCAGTGTCATATGCAGGTATTCTGTGGTTGCCTTAGTTGATATGATGTGTAGCAAACCCTCAAATACATTGATAAAAATAAACTGTAGGCCATAACAGGCTTTGGACATGTAACTGAACCTGACATAGTTGGTATTTTGGCATGTAACGTGTGAATAATTTGATAAAGTGGCCTTTCTTATGTTAATTCTATTTTGTTGCTTAAATGGAATTTTCACTTCTTAAAACTTGGAAGATGATGATTCATTGACTAGTTTTCTCCTAACAAATCAAACCCAAAAAGAAACAACTAAAAAAAATTAAATCCTCATGCTCATTTAGCAGCATTCTTTTTGTGTGGGTGTGGCTATGTGCACATCAGGAGGAATAATTTGTCATGAATGAAAACAGTATGTGAAATGATTGTAGAATTTGTATTGTATTTCTAGTAAGGCTAGATCTGAACAAATGTGCTTTGGCTAAATACAGGTTCAGAAAAGAAGCATGAGAAATTATCATCTTCCGTTTGTGCTGTCCAAAAAGGTATAATTTAAATTTGAAATTTTTAATACATGCATCTATTGCAAGCTGTTGCATTGACTTTGTTAATTTATGGTAAATAACATAAAGTTCCAATGTATGATGAAATGATTACTAGTGGATAATTCAAATTATTTGCACTGGGTTTTTAATGGGAAAAATATTTCATTACTGAAGTAGCAAACAAACAAGCAATCTAAGTGTTCTTTCTGACGGACAAACTTCATGAAAATGATTTGTCTGGTCAAGGCTATATGTTGGCTATGATAAATAAATTTTCCAGAACATTATTAATGTTGCATTGGTTTTTACCTTAAATAGCTTATTTTGCTTTTAAAGTTTGGCACTGCATGGTATGAAAGTCTGAATTTGGTGGGATTGAGCCATTCACTCATTTGAAGAGCACAGATTTTCTGTTTGGACCATAGGAGCTTTCTTTTATTAAGAAGGAATTTACAGGATGAAACTGCATATGACCCACGAGAGGCTAGTTTTGCCATTATAGCAACTAGACTTTGTACCCCAAATCTTACAAATATTTATGTTTCCTTGGCAAGGAAAGTTTACCAATACAATTATCTATTTTGTTTTGTTTTCCTTCCAGACCAAACTAGCAAACTTAAATATATTCTCTGAGATGCACGATTTTTTCTTATAAAAAGTAACAACCATGAAAATGTATCACTTGCCAAAGCTAAGGTATGTTGGAGTCCACTCCTATGACGCATCAGATAGTTTTTGGTTTGTAAATTATCTGCACATCTCTCCATAGGGTGTTTGGTCAACCCTTCCAGTCAACGAGAAAAAGCTCAATGCTGCCTTCAGATCAGCAAGAAGTGTGATCTTGATATTTTCTGTAAGAGACAGTGGAAAATTCCAAGGTAAGTAAAATAAATATTTGCACTCAGAAATCAAAAGTTATTTAGATAACTGGTCTCATCACAATGTTTTTAAATTCTTACAGGATTTGCAAGGCTTGCTTCTGAATCTCATCATGGAGAGTCTCCCATACATTGGGTGCTACCTGCAGGAATGAATGCAAAAATGCTGGGAGGCGTATTTAAGATAGATTGGATATGCAGGTAAAATGGGTGGAAATTAGAAAATAAAATTGTGTTTGGATAGGCTATTTCTTATAGAACAGATACATAATGTTTAGTAACAAGTAATTGCTTGCATGCCAGAATCCCTACCCAATCTTGCCTGAGCTTAACCCTCCCCCTGCCCAAAAAAAGGGTGGGGTTAGTACTTGGATTAGAGATCACCAGGAAATCTTAGGACTATAGCCGTGATGGCGAACCTATGCCATGCGTGCCAGAAGTGGCATGCAGAGCCATCTCTCTGGGCACACCAGCCGTTGCCCATTGCTCTTCTGGGTTCCAGCACGCTGACCATCTGCTCTTCGCACGTGCTGGAGTGCCGGAAATCGGAAAAGCAGTTCCCCAGCATGCATGCATGCAACGGCCAGCTGGTCTTCGTGCGTGTGGGAGTGCTGGAAACCAGTAGAGCAACTTCCAGTTTCCGGCACGCCCATGTGTGCACGTCCGGGAGCTGCTCTTCTGGTTTCCTGCACACACATTTCGGCACTCGGTGCTGAAAAGGTTCACGGCTACTGGGCTATAGGATCAAATGGGAAGTTGAAAAACATCTCACAAGAGAGCAGTGTGAACAACATCTGTATTGTTACTGTTCTATCACCAGAATAAGATAGACTCGAGACCGGAGTTGAGTTCAGCTCTTTATTTAACTGTCAGTAACTTCAACTAAACTCAAGCCACGGCAGCCTCTTTTATAGCGACTGTTCACGGCTCGCAACCAATGGCATCATTTTAAACCTCCCGCCGTTTAGGGGGCCAATCATAATATGTTGTTAACCACCAATCGCTAGGCGGTAGTGATTGTCCAATCGGAACGTAGTATTACGACTATGCAAATGTCTATATACAACACCTCTCCCCTCTTGGTCCAGTCCAACTTTACGTGACGTAGTCACGCAAATAGGCGGGGCTTTTGTGGGTCCTACTTGACCTGCGCAGCTCAGTCTCTGTGTTGTCTTCAATCAGTTCGGACGGGATCGATGTTTCTCCTGTCCTTCTCTCAGGAACCTCTTGGAAGGGTGAGTCAGCCATGCTGCTCCCATCGGGCCTTGTTAGGTTGGTTGAGCTGCCTTTGCCGCTCCCTTCTAGCTTACTTAGGCAGGTAGAGTCGGCTCGGCTGCTTCTTCCCTGGTTCTCCTCCAGCTCCCTTCTTTCGAACTCGCCTGTTGGTAAGTAGTTTTTATTTGTTTTGGGGCTTTCTGTTGCTGGTTGGTGGCCTGTTTTTAATCGTGTTAAAGGAGGGTCTTCCCTTTGTTTATTATTTAAGGGTTGCCCCCCCTCTCTGGTTTTATTATTACTTATTGGCTGTTTTGTATGGGTTTGCTCTATATTTCAGGGTGTGTCGGTGTTGCGTTCGAGGTTTCGAGACCGTAGTTGGTCTATGTGCCTTTTCCAGGTTCTGCCGTCCATCGTTTCCAATCGGTACGACCAGGGGCCTGTTATTTGTGTTATCGTGGCTGCTAACCACAATGGGTCTCCAGTAAGATTTTTTGCGTATACCAGGTCGCCTGGTATAAACGTGCGGTACTTACTGGAGGAGTCTGGTGGCTTCTCGGGGTTGTAGGTGGGGTGTAGTCTGTCCAAATGTGTTCGCAATTTTCTGCCCATTAAAAGTTCAGCTGGACTCTTGTTTGTTGATGTGTACAGTGTTATATGTTGAATTGTGAGCATTGTATTTATTTTGTCTTTCATGTCACCCCCTTCAAGTTTTTCTAATGCTTCTTTCGTGTATCGAATCATACGTTCCGCCCGTCCATTTGATGCTGGGTGAGCTGGCACTGTCAGGGCATGTCATATGCCTTGTTCTGAGAGGAATTGTTCAAAAGCTAAAGCTGTGAACTGTGGGCCATTGTCCGAGACTAACACGTCTGGTAATCCATGAGTGGCGAAGAGTTTCTTTAGTTGTTTAGTGATGGCTTCAGTTGTTGTTGAACTCATGATGCTGACCTCTAACCAGTTCAAGTAGGCATTGACAATGATTAAAAATGTATATCCCTTTGTGGGTCCGGCGAAATCTATGTGGATCCTTGACCAGGGGCCTCTGGGTGTCTCCCAGTCAAGGACCGGTGCTAAAGGGGGGGTAGGTCTGGACGTCTGGCATTTATTACATGTTTTTACCCATGTTTCAATGTCTTTGTCTATTCTTGGCCACCAGACATAGCTTCTGGCCAGGGACTTCATTTTTACCATGCCCGGGTGTCCCTCATGTAACATGTTCAGCACGTCTTCCTGTAATTTTCTTGGAACAACAACCCTATCCCCCCACAATATACATCCTTTTTCAATTGACAGCTCAGTTTGCTGGGTTCTGAATGGTTTAAAAGTCTCATTTTTGTTGTTTTCCAGCCAGCCCCTCCCCACCCAGTTCAGGAGTCAGGCCATTAGTGCGTCTTTTGTGGTTTCCCTTGCGATGTCCGATGCGGTGATGGGCAGGTTCGATATTTCAATTTGCAGGGTGCGTGTGGTGGGAGCTGGGTCATCGTTGTGGTCTGGTAGAGGTGAGCGGCTCAGTGCGTCGGTGTGGGGTATGGCTTTTCCTGGTCGATAGACGAGCTTGTAGTTGTAGGCTGCAAGAAATTCTGACCATCTTGTCATCCTTAGAGACAGGATGTTAGGGGTGGCCCTGTCTCCTGCCAGGATTCCTAACAATGGCTTGTGGTCGGTAATTAAGGAAAATGTCCTACCATAAAGGTATTCGTGAAAACGTTTTACCCCCGAGATAGTGGCCAAGGCTTCTCTGTCCAGTTGGCTGTAGTTTCTTTCGGCTTTTGACAGCGTTTTGGAATAAAAGGCGATCGGTGCCTCTCTGCCATCAGGTAGTGTGTGGCTAAGTATTGCGCCTACGCCAAATGGTGAAGCATCGCAGGTGACAGTCAGTGGTAGTGTGTCGCTGTATTGGATTAATACAGATTTGGATGTTATTAAGTCCTTAATTCTTTGGAATGCAGCTTCTTCTCGTCGGCCCCATGCCCAGATGGCTTTTTTATCGAGTAGTCTATGCAGTGGTTCCGCTATTGTTGCCTTCTACGGCAAAAAGACATTATAAAAATTAATGAGTCCCAAGAATGCCCGCAAGTCTGTTTTGTTTTTGGGTCTGGGTGCTTCTTTTATCTCTCGTATTTTTTTTTCGGTGGGGTGGATTCCTGCTTCATCAATAAGATATCCTAGGAACTCGACCTGATTTGTGGCAAGTTGGCATTTTTCTTTTTTGATCTTGAGTCCTGCTTCTCTAAACCTTTGCAAGACTGCCCTTAGCCGGTCCTTTAGTTGTTTTTTATTTCCGGCGGATACCAATACATCATCAAAATAGGGAACCACCCCTTTTAGTCCTTGGAGGAGGTGTTCCATCAGGCTTTGGAAAATGCCGGGGGCCACGCTGACACCAAATTGCAATCTGTTGCATTTAAATGCCCCCCTATGTGTTACAATAGTCTGTGCCTCTGCCGTCTTGGAATCAGCCGGCAACTGTTGATATGCCTGCACGAGATCGGGCTTTGCAAAAACTTTTCCTCCCCCCAATGAGTGCAAGAGGTGCTGGACTACTGGAATGGGGTATGCGCTCTGCTGTAATGCGTGGTTCAGGGTGGCCTTAGAGTCACCACAGATGCGCAAAGGGGATGCGTCTGGCCTTTAGCTGGATGGGGGCTATGTTTGGGTTTAGGCTAAATGAGATAGGGGTCCCATGGTACTTGCCTAGCGTCCCATTGAATACGTCCTGGAACTCGTTCATCAGGCTTTCTTCCCAGTCTGTCTCGGTGACGCTGTTGATTCCTGTCACTTCAATCCCCAAAGGTGCGAACCATTCTAAACCAAGCAGGCTGGGTCGGTCTCTGTTGACAATGGTCAATGGAAGAACTTCAGTGTGTTTCTTGAATTTTACCTTGAAATGTCCCAGTCCAACTACCAGAATCTTGTTTCCTTGGTAGTCTTTTAACATCAGGCTTTGCTCTTCGAGTTCTTTTCATCGTATGTCTGGTAGCAAGCTTTTTACTGTGTTCCATGATACCATTGACAGATATGAGCCGGAGTCCACTTCCATTTCACATGGCTCTCCCTCTATTTTGACGTTTATTCAAACCTTCTTAGCATCAGTTGCTCTGGCATTCCCAATGATAATTGTCTGATGTGTTTCTTCCTTCTTGTTGAGCCGCTGACTTCTATTTTCCCAGCTCCAACAACTTCCGGTTTGCTTCTCCTCAGTTCTGGGGTGTGTGTGTGTGTGTGTGTGTGTGTGCTGCCTCGTCTTTTTGGACTATGCTCTTTTTGTTTCGGCAGACCCTTGCAATGTGCCCCCGTTTTTCGCAGTGTCTGCAGATGGCGTCCAAAAAACGACACTCAGAAAGCGGGTGATTTCCTCCGCATCCAGCACACTGAAATTCAGGTTTCCTTCCTCTTTTTTCTCGCTGGTTCCGTTCTGACTGGAGCCTATGTACCTCTTTGTCTTCGTCCTCAGAGTCGGTTGATGACTCGATGTCTTCATGGTGGGTGGTTGTGGTAGTGTGTTTCTGGGTACCTTCCACTTTCTTTTCTCTGCTCTGGCTTGGGCTGTTGGCCATATTCATTTGCTTCATTTTCGCTGCAGATTTTTTCGCTGGCTCAGCTGCGGTTGCCTCAGCGATGGCTTCATTTATGGTGATGTTGGGTCGATTTAGTAGTTTGATTTGGAGGGTAGTGTCTCTCAATCCGAGGACCACATGGTCTCTCATGGCTTCGTCGATGTTGAGAAATTCGCATGCTCCTCCATTGTCCCTTAGTGCTGCTATGAAATCCCCGATACTTTCACCTTCTCGTTGATCCCATTTATAAAATTCGTGTCTTTGAATAAGATTGGAAACAACAGGTGCGTAATGGGCTCTCAGCATCTGGTTCAGGTCCAGCCATGCCATCTGTTTGACATCATGCAGTTTTGCCAATGCTTTGGCCATTTTAAAAATTGTAGGTCCGCAATGCATCAGGAATACGGCTCTCTTCCTTTGGTCCATGATTCCTTGTAGTTCGTTACTCTCTAGGAACATCAGGAACCTGTCAATATATGATTCCCAGTCCTCTTCGGCTGGGTTGAATGGTGCGGGTGGCGAATTATTTCCAGCCATCTCTTTGACTTCTTGGCTCTCTTCGCCACGTGCTTACGGTCTTTGTCCTCTCAATCCCACCTTCGTCGCCAATGTTCTATCATCAGAACAAGATAGACTCGAGACCGGAGTTGAGTTCAGCTCTTTATTTAACTGTCAGTAACTTCAACTAAACTCGAGCTGCGGCAGCCTCTTTTATAGCGGCTGTTCGCGGCTCACAACCAATGGCATCATTTTAAACCTCCCGCTGTTTAGGCAGCCAATCATAATATGTTGTTAACCACCAATCGCTAGGCGGTAGTGATTGTCCAATCGGAACGTAGTATTACGACTATGCAAAAGTCTATATACAGCAGTTACCATTAAAACAATATGGACATGGTCGTGTAGTCTCCAAGAATTGAGCCTGATTCCAGAGAGACTTGACTTTAGATGTGGCATTGAAGGATAAACTCATTTAAATGGCCAGGAGGTAATGCATCAAAGTCTAATATCCCAGTTTTCTTCCTCCCATATAATTCACTATTGTCATGCTTCTGCTGTGGTTTTTTTAACAATATTTATGGGCTCTACATTATTGCTTTTTGTTGTAAAGTTCTTACAGTCTTCTGTTGATGATAGACGACTTCCTTTCCTGCCCCTGGGTGGATTTTGAAGCACATTAAGTGTAAAATGGGAACAGGAGCCAAATATTGTTTTTCTTTTCTCCTGCAGTAGGAAGTTGTTGCAGAAATGTGACTCTGAGGCTTTAAGAAAGATTGTATAAAAATCAGGGATTGCATGTTTTGTCCTTTTCAGTTTGTTAAGATTTAGAATCTCTTCCTTTTGTTCTAAACCTTGGGATCCCTTCCAATTTTTTTTTCACTAGAAATATAACTGAAAATAGTGAAGCTTAATTATATTGGTTTGAAAATGCATTGAGGATTTTGTTGACAATTATAAACAAGTTTGCCAAGTTAAGCTTGGAATTTGATTCTAAAAGATAATGCCTCATACTCTTTCCCCAAACCAAGTAGAAATTTTAGTTCTCTGAAAATAAAAAGTGATCCTATTTCTGTTGATTAGTTTGTCTCTTTATTATGGAGAAAATTTATGAGGTGTCTGACAGTCAACAACAACTTTATGGCACATAATCAGTCAAGCAATCTACCGGTAATTGATTAAGGTGAGAGGAGAACAAGACTGATTATTTTCCTGGCCTCTCCATACCATCCAATATTTTCTTTTCTGTTCCAGACTCTTTTCCTTGCTTAACTTTGTTGTGTTGGAGACAAGAGAAGCACTGGATAACAAAAGTTTTCCAGCATTATTATTACCTCACTTATGTTGGGAAAATTACATTTTTATAACTCTGTTTGCATCCTTCGTTGCCAGACCAAGGATATGGATGATGGGCTCACTGAGTTTGTGGAAATTGGATAAGAACGAAGGACAAAGGAAGGCTTAAATCGGGGTGTCAAACTGGCGGCCCACAGGTCGGATGCATCACACGCAGGCCACACCCACCCCAGCTCCACGAAGACAATGTCGCGATATGTCACGTTATGTGACACAATCAAGTTTGACACCTGTGGCTTAAATTATCTGCCTCAGAATGACTTAATCAGAACTGAAGACAAATTTTGGAGATTGTAATTGTTATGTCCCTGGAACTCTAAGGAGTTCCCACTCAGGTCCGTTCGCGTTGCGGGGGCGGCTGCCCCCTCGCTCATTGGTTGGTTCTCCCCAGCAGCCAGCTATAAAAGCAGGCTGCGGGGTCCAACCAGTCGCTGATCGCTGCAAGCCAGTTCCAGGCTTGGCTAGCACGTTCAGTCCTTTATTATCACAATAAAGTATCTGTTGCACTCATGCTCTGGTTCAGCCTCTCATTACCCAAACTTAACAGTAATATTTGCTTGGTGAAGTGAACATGTGATTTAGTCTCTAAGCTTTGCTTCATTGATTAGATCCATTGCTAGTTGGATCCTCATTGTTTTTTAAGTTGCACTTCATTGTATGAGAAAGTGTGTCATATCATATTTTTAGGTGTGAATTGCCATTAACAAAATCTGCTCACCTGACCAATCCTTGGAATGAACATAAGCCAGTAAAGATTGGACGTGATGGACAGGTTTGTCAGCTGCCTTTGATTGTTCTTCAAATCATTAAGCCCAGTATTTTAAAATATTCTTAATAGATTTTTTATGATACAGTTGTTCATCTTTGAAAGCTGCTTCTGCTAATCTTGTTTTATCATAAATATCTATGATATTGTCACATTTTGGTAAAATATTGCACTCCCAAATAATATTTTATTGAAACATCAGGGAACATACAGCAAGTACCTTTAAAATGAAATATACCATTGTAAGTAGATTTCTATAACAAAGTTTCTTGAAGCCAGAAGAATTGTCATACAACTCTGTAATGAAAGCACTCATAATGAAAGAGAATAAGGATTTAACAGGTATTGAACTGGTGGGAGGGAAGATGATTGTAGTCTGTGTAGAGGGAGGGCCGAAGCTTCCCCCTCCCCGAAAACATCAATGAAGTCTGCATATTTACTTGGCAGATTGAGAATCTCTCTGTGAAGCGGGGTGGGGCTGGTGAGGGACTTTGGAGGGATGATCGCAGTGATAAAGGCATTCAGGATTTTCAAAGGCAATAAATTGTTTTTTCCACTTAATCGTGGGGTCATGGTGTTGTAACCAAGCGGTTCCCAGCACTAGTAGAAGATCGATGTGTTCTGCTACAAAGAGAGTTAACTCTTCAGAATGCTGATTTATTGTTAGCTTCAAAGGCATTCTGGCATGAGTAATAGGGCCAACTTTTAAAATTTGGCATTCAATACCGATAGTCCTCGACTTACAATGGTTCATTTAGTGACCATTCAAAGTTACAACAGCACTGAAAAAGTGACTTATGACCATTTTTCACACTTACGACAGTTGCAGCATCCCACAATTCACATTTGGACGCTTGATAACTGACTCATGTTTATGATGGTTGCAGTGTCCCAGAGTCATGTTTTGCAAACTTCTGACAAGCAAAGTCAGTGAGTAAGCCAGATTCACTTAACGACCATGTTACTAATTTAAGAACTGCAGTAATTCACTTAACAAATGTGGCGAGAAAGGTTGTAAAATGGGACAAAACTCACTTAACAAATGTTTCATTTAGCAACTTAAATTTTGGGCTCCATTGTGGTCATAAGTCAAGGACTACATGTAGTTATCACTGGCAATGGAGACTTCAGGGAAACTGTAGGTATCTTAAGTTTTTGAACTGTGGCTAGGCTTATGAAGTCACAGATTGACCCAGAATCTATCAAAACAGGGATGGCGGTTTCTTGACCACTGGGAAGTGTCAGGGTAGAATCAAATTTTATTAATGTACCTGAGCGTGCAGGTAACTGAGTGCTGTACAGTGCTTGGGTGGAAGGGAACATGAGGTAGCATACTAATGAACAATGAAAAGAAAGCTAGAGTGTCATGCCCCTGGTGGAGTCTGACTCTGAGGAAGAGGAGGAACAGCCAACAGGGAGTGGGAGTGTGGCTCCAGAGGTGGTGGAGGAGGCTGGGGAAGGGCAGAGGCTGGCTGAGCAGTCAGAGGAGGATCCAGGCCCATCCCCTATCCATCCTAGGTCATGCAGGGAGGAGAGGATCAGGGAAAAGCGAGGTCTACTCAAGAGGAGATTACCATGATCCTCCTCGTGGCTTGCAGGTGGGAGCTATGTTTATAAGTTTGCAACTGCACAGTAAGAATTGCTGAAGTCAATTAGTGTTCACCTTGAAAGAGGGTTATCTTTGCTGGTGTTCTTCCTATGGACTTTTCTCAGTTATTTTCCTGGAGTTTATAATTAGTTATCTCGGCTTGCTTCAGAACTCTTATCAATGTGGTTTGTTTTGGTTTTCTGTTTGCCTCGTTATTTACTTTTGTGACTTTAAACCATGCCTAATAAAGCAGTGAAGTTAAGTTGAAGGCTTTACCTGACTTTAATATATGTTTTGGGTTTTGGGTTATTTTAAGAGACCACGGGTCATCACATAGAGTAAGAAATCTGAAAGACTATTTTCAAAAACTCAGTTTAAATTTCATGTTACTAAAATGAATGCAAAGGCCTAAAACAATAGGCTCCAATTTCAAAAGTATGATGTTAAAATATTAATGCCTTAAATGATTTTTTCTGTATAGTATAGTGTACACAGGGAGAGCTGTCTGCGTCTTTGCTGTTCTGCTCCAGTCCCGGGGCCTGTCTGGCAGCTCCAATTTGCATCAGCTCTTCAGCGTCCAAATCCAAGGTGGCAGGGAGGCTGGGGTAGTGACAGGGGAAGTCAGGTTTGGAAGTGGTTGGCTGGTTCTTGAACTGTGCTCTTAGGGCTGGCTCATTCCAATCCAGATCTGTTGCAATGAGCTTGAAATCTTCAATGTATGCTCTCATAGAGTTGTTGCCTTGGTGGAGTTTCTATTCTATTCGAATAGGGTCTCCAAAACACTCTCTAAATCTAGTGAGGAAGTTTGGGTAACTATCCAGGATGTTGTCCCAAAGGTGCTGTTTCAAGAGGCAACTGGACTTTCTGGTGAGACCAGAAAGTCCAGTTGCCTCTTGAAAAAGTAGCTTTGGGACAACCATGACCTGGATGACTGAGAATCTGTATAGACATCCAGGATGTTGGTTTCAATGAGTGGAAGAGCCCATTTGGCAGCAAAGTCGGTTAAAAGCATGAGGATGAAGGAGACTCTTGATCTGTCTGTCGGAAACTCCCCTGGTTGGGTGCTGATGAACAGATTGCACTGTACTAGGAATCTTCTCATCAGGCTCACCAGTGAATTTCTGTGGTAGGCAGCTGGGAGACTTGGGAATGAGCACGGCAGGAACTGGCAGTTGTACCTGGGCTGGTGAAGTAGGTGGTTGTGGTTGCACAGGAATACCTTGTTGAGTCAGGATCTGCATTTGCTGCATCTTTTGTTGAAAATTGGCTGCAAGATTCCTGATTTTGCCTTCAATGGCATCTTGGTGTCTGCTGATAAAGCGAAGGTCTGGCTTGTCTGCTATTGCTGCAGCTCTGGGATCTGAGGTTATGATTAGGGTATTCCGGAGCCCGAAAATAATTTTGGTGAAGGGAATTGGTCAGATTAATGTCAAGAGCCAGGGAAATCAGAAGATTCAGGCAGTTCAAATGAGTATAAAGATTTATTGCAAGCTTAAGCTCTCTACAAGAATCTAACCAACTAATGGTCAAGAGAAATGAGCAGGATTTAAGAAGACATTCAAAGTGGGCTGGACTTAGATCTCTTGTGGGCGTGCAGGGATTCATGACTTATGATGCATTTGACCCCTCTGTCGGGCTCAGCCTGGTCATCTCCTGCACTTTCACATGTTTCTTAAATTAGGTGTTACCACTCATAAAATGTATTCATTTTGTCTTAGAATGAAACCACATAATTAAATATTGATTCCTTTGTGTGGATTCTGACATGAACTTACCAACATTTAATTTTTACAGGAAATTGAGCTTGAATGTGGAACCCATCTTTGTCTCTTATTCCCTACTGATGAAAGTATTGACTTGTATCAATTCATTCATAAAATGCGTCATAAGAGAAGAATGCACTCTCAGTCCCAGTTAAGAGGTCGTCCATCCCATCGAGAGCCAGTTAGAGATGTGGGAAGGTTAGAAACATTCTTTGGGCTGATAATAGGCACATGTGTGAGAATAACATGATGGAGGAATATGATTCATCAAAAAGCTTTCCCTGCAATCAAGAAGAGAGAAAATCCTCACATCAAGCTGCATGGATGGGTTTGTGGCTTCATTGAGGATTTCACATTGTCCCTCTCCCCCAGTTTGTCACTTTCAAGAGGAAAATGGGGACATTTTGCTTACACGGAAAATAACTTCATGTCAATCTAGCTTTGACTTGATTTTTATGCAGATTATTTGGCTCTGTTAAATATGGGTAAGCTGATTTTTTTCAAGACCAGGTTAGGTGGAGGAAAATCAAGCCTGTGTGTTCCAAAATGTGTTAATATCTTGTAAAAGCCTTTTCTTTTAGGTATATCTCTGGATAAGCCTTGTCAAATATGGGACTTTTATCAGGATCACTTATAATTTTGCAGAAGATGGTCGCCTCATTTTGAGGATAAAATATTTTTAATATTTTGCTGTTCAAGAAGAGCATGTTTGGGACTGTTGCAAATTTTATCATCGTGCTGTGGTTAAGCTCATTGCCAAATATTCTTTACATCTTGCTGAGCTTCTGGGAGTCATAGGTTCTCTCCAAAGGAAGTAGCCTTTGGAGACCCGGCAACAAACCAAAAAGAATGGCTGTTGCTGTGTCTGTGTACACAACCTTTCCAGCACCTGTGGACTTAAAAGTGGTTTTAGAGGATCACCATGGTTATTGATCTCTGCTCTATGAACTTACCAACATTCCCCAGAAGGAAGGGTATATCTTGTTACAGACAAGAAGGAGTCTTTGCAAAGGACTGATAATAATAATTTCTATCCAACATGTTTCCCTGATCCCTGTGTAGCCACTTTGCTTTCTGGTAAATCTAAAGCTTTTCTGCTAAAGACTGGTTTGGGCTGAAACCATTTTGGTTAGAGTTTCCAGTTTGTGGAAATGTCCTGTGGTAGGTACAGATATCCAACGAGCCCCCATATCCTTGCTCTTAAAGGACATTGTAACTTGTAGATAGGAGGAATCCTGGTAGCAACCCCCCTTTCTTTGGGCATAAAAGGACTGAGCACCAAGATGGCTTTTGAAATTAAGCCCTAAGAGATTTTCAGTGCAATAAAGTGTTTACAAGTGAAAGTTTTGCAATGGACTGCAAAGTATACATTATAACACCATCACACCTTCTCAAGGCTGCCAGGGCCTCCATTTATGTGTATGGCTTTCAGCTTAAAGACAGTAGTTGGACTACTATATGAACTGTTACTATCATATATTATACCGGTCGTAAGTGCACACTCAAACTACAAGAAAGCGGTATGTTTATTCTTTTCACCAGCTATTTTCTAAATCTCTTTGATGTACATACAGTTGCTTTACTTCTCAGAATTATGATACTTATTGTTAAGAATTATAATTTAAATAAGTGGGGAGGTGAGAGGAATCACTTCATGGTCTACATGTAGTCCTCAACTTACAACAGTTCATTTAGTGACTGTTTGAAGTTATAATGTCACTGAAAAAAGTGACTTATGACCATTTTTCACACTTACAACCATTGGTCCCATGGTCATGGGATCAAAATTCAGACGCTTCTTACAAGCAAAGTCAATGGGGAAGCTAGATTCACTTAACAACCATTTACTAAATTAACAACTACAATGATTCACTTAACAACTGTGGCAAGAAAGGTTATAAAATGGGGAAAAATTCATTTAACAACTGTCTCACATAACAGAAAATTTGGGTTCAATTGTGGTTGTAAGCCAAGGACTGCCTATATTCATGTTTCCCTGCTTTAGAAATTGTGAAGGTGCATTTGGAAGGGAACATGAGGTAACATACTAATGAACAGAGAAAAGCAAGCTAGAGTAAGAAATCCGAAAGACCATTTAAAAAAAAATAAATTTAAAATTCATGTTACTAAAATGAATACAAAGGCCTAAAACAATAGGCTCCAATTTCAAGAGTATGATGTTAAAATATTCATGCCTTAAATGTTTTTTTCTGTATAGTAACTAGTAATTGTGTCTATGCAGGTTGGGATTTACGTGTTAGAAATTGATAAAAGTTTTTTTTACTGACCAAGTAAGACAGTTGATCAGATCAAACATATAAAATGTTCACAAATTGTGTGGCTTATGTTTGCAGGGTAACCTTCAATATAGACATTCTGTAAGCATCAAGTAGATTTCATGCTGTAAGTTTTATGGACACAGGAGACCAACACCCCAAAAAATCAGCGGGGCTTTTTTTCAAAAAGGCACATTAAGATTGGATTTAGGTATGGTTGGATCAAGTTCCCTGTTAAGAATCTAAAATCTTCACATCATAGTATTCTAGTTAAGAACATACATTTTGTTGCTAGTATAAATACAAATTCTTTATGACAAATTCTGTGAAACTCATATAGGGAATTATAGAAAATACACCAAAACTCCAAAAAAGTTGTGGGGTATTCTGGTAGGTCCTTCTAAGGATTTTTTATTTATGTAGGTTGCTCCAAACAGTTCTTAATTATTGTCTAATTTATGTAGGCATCGACCAGAGGATTATGATATTCATAACAGCAAAAAGAAAGCAAGGACTGATTATCCCCCTGAGTTTCACCAAACACCAGGTTAATATCTTACTGTTTAAATGTTTATGCACAAATTTACAGATTTGTGCATTAAAATAGTCATGTGGGAATGTAAATATTAAATTATTTAAATTTAAAGTTGTAAAGTCTCTGATTAAGATAACCAGATATATGAGAATACAATGGAACTCATATAAGAATAAGGGGTGTGTGTGTCCTAAAATAGTTATACAATAGCACAGCCTCTTTGGAATGAATAGAGAGGCATCCTAACATAGTAATATAGAGGCATTCAAAAGAATGTACTAACTCTTCTTTGTAAGTTAAACCAAAAGTTAAACAAAAGAATTAGTTTACATTAGCTGTCTTGTATTCTGAACAGTCCCATGCATTACATGAATGAAAGCAAATATACGTGTCCCAGGATAATGTTGCAAGATCCAGTCTGGGTCGGTCACCAGGACCAGAGGTTTAGTCTTCCAAGACTTCAGACTTGTGCTGGAGCCCATCCTCAGGGAACTTCATCTCAGTCATTACAGAAACTGTCCTATGCGAACTAGAACACTGTGCATTTCAAAACTACACACCTAAATTTTGGTGCCATTACATGGATGTCACATTTGTCATAAACAAAAGAAATGCACCAAGGACTTCCGGCTGACGTCGCAGCCATTTTGGAAGTGAGGAGTGGGTCTCTGCACACCCACGCCAAGTTCTACCTGTTGGAGGGCTCCAAAAGAAGCTAAAACCACCCTGTAGGGGTGGTGAAGAAAAGAGGGGTGCCCTGTAGTTCGGGGAGAGCAGCAACTCACCTGCTGGACTGAGGGCTTCTGCCCTCTCCTTTGACGAGAAGAGGCAGCCATCATGGCTGCCATGAAGCTAGGACAGCCAAGGCAACAAAGAAATGTGCAGGAGCGGTGCAGATGAACAGTGATTGGAGCTGGGTGAGAAGATTCCTTTTTATTTAGACCCTAACTTTAAAGAAAAAAAGAGGAAAATCCAGGAAAAGAGACTCTTAGAACTATCTTTTAAAGCAGCAAACTACCATAGAGATAAAAATCCTAGACCCAAAAGAAAAGGAACTAAGGGGAGAAAAGCTAAAGCCTTTTTAAATCACAGAAAATTGGACTTTTAAATTGGGCAGGCGTTGTTTGGGAAAGGCATTATAAAATGCTGGACTATCTATTTGAATTTATTTGAACAGTTGACTTTTCTTCCATAAATTGAATTAAATTTAGATTAATTAAATCTTGAAGCAACTTGAAACAACTCTGAAACCTAAGCTGAGGTCACCATCTACTGGTGAATGGAATATACCAGACCCCTACAAGTTTAGAAATACCTTTTGATGATAGGATTAAACAACATTCATCTGTAGGACTGTGGTGACACTTACTGTTCTATAACAAGCTACTGTATGATTACTGGAGACTCTACATGAGAATAAGGAAGACCTTTAAGTAAAGCAAAGTGATTTTTGACTTGCGGAAGCTTCCTGGACTACTTAAATAAAATTGATTAATAATCCTGAGATGTAAAGGACTATGATTTTTTTTTTAAGAACAAGTTTTATTGATTTTTGAAGACAAACAAAACATAAAAGTATAAAACCTCCTTTCTAAGAATTACTTATAAATTTTAACAAGGCAAATAAAGCATTATTTTTTAAGACATAGTTCCACATTATCACATTTCCATTTACACATATATATCTTTTCCAAATTTCTCATTATTTCTCCCTTCACTTTTATTCAATTATATTTCTTTCTATCAAGGTTTTATTAATTCTCAATCAGTCACAAAATACATAACATAAAACAAAACATAAAAAAATAAAACTTCCTTAATTGTCATTTATACATGTCTTTTCCAAATTTCTCTCCCTTTAGTTTTATTCCTCCAAGGTTTTATTAATTCACAATCAAACATAACTAACCAAAACACAAAACATAAAACATAAGACTTCTTTTGAAAAGTGGCTTAGCCCCGGGTTACATCTTTTTTAACAGACCTAAATCAAATTCATGCTCACCTTATATACCATTCATATCTTATTAACCATTTTATATTTTCTATATAACTTCTCCCATCTTTTCACTCTCTTAATTATGTTTTATTTATTTCATCTTATTTCAAAATCATTATGCTTGTATCTTTTGTCCGTTCTTTTCCAATCATCTATTTATCTCTTCTCTTTAGCAAAGAATTTCCCCTGTAATCACTTTTAAAGTGTGATGCCTTTCTATCTTTCCCCTAAAGTAAAACTTAAAATAATACATAATTTCCATCCTGATTCTGCGTAGTACATTCTACATATTACATCTTAAAATAAAAGAATAATAAACTTATAGTATAGTTAAGTATATAATTTCCATTCTAATTCTAATTCTAATTAGTACATTATTTTAGAATAAGAAAATAAAATACTAAGTTTATAATTACATTAAGACAATAACGAATTAAACTATAACTAAACATTAATCATTTTACACATTCTCCTTAATATTTTATTAAATATTGAAATCTATCATTATTAAACATTAATATTTTATTAAATATTCCAATAGACTATTTCAAATGCAAATACTACAATACTATCTTATGTACTCTTGCAGAATCTTTCTTTAATTATACACTATCCATTATCCTTTATCTCTAAAAAAAATTTGCTTTTTGAGATCTTGTTCTAGCCCGTGGCTTTTTTCCCCTTTTTCCCTCCCTTTCTTCTCCAGTCTGGTCTTTTTGCCCCCCCCTCTCCTAACCTCCCCCTTTTTAACTTCCCCTCTCTGTTGTAATTCTCTTTTCAATTGCTTTCTAACATTGTACCTTTTTTTCACCCTATTTTTCTTTTTCTTGGTTGTTTTATTAAATCTTAAATTCTCATTTTTCCTTCCTCTCTTCCCATTTTCTTTCTTAATTGAACTTTTTAGTCCATTAAAGATGGCTTCTTCCTTTTCTTCTTCTCCTTCTCCTTCTTCCTCAAGTATTTGCTGGTACGTAGAAACCGCCATTTCTAAAAGGTGGAAGACAGCTCCCAAGGAATCCTAGCCATTTTGCTCTCTTTCTTTTAATTTTTCATATTCCATTTTTAGTTCATCCACAGATGGTGCCATTGTAAATTTTTAAAAACAACCCAGATGTTTTCAATCTTAAAGTAATTTCCAAATGTCAAAGTTATCAAACAATCCAAACAAACAAAAATTATTTCCTCTTCTTCTCTTTACAATTTTTCCTCCAGGGGCAAAATCCCAAATGTATTTTAAAAGCCATATTACAGTTAATTGATGGTCTTATAATCTTCAAGGCGTGTCCTCCAACAAAGTTTAAAAAAAAATTTTTTTAGTCCTCTCCTTCCCACTTGTAACAAAGAGCTTATTTTTACCTTTAAAAAGCAGGTTTTTCTGTGCTCATTTGCTTTCTCCGTAAGGAAGGGGAGTGAACTTTCCTTCAGCACTTTCGTCGCTGTAACAACTTCTTTTGGAAACAAATGTATCAATCCGAAAGTCAGGTTTCCAGGGTGTTTTAAAAGTAACTTAATGTCCCGGTTCAGCCAAGAAAACTTCTCCTTCTGGCTCTTCCTCCTGCACAGTCTTGTCCAGTTGAAGATTTCTTTGTGGCTGCCATTACTGACAGCCGCTCCACTGCCTCAGGAAAAAGGAGTCTAGCCGGCTGGGGAAAGGGGGTGCGATATCTCCAAACCCCTGCCCGGATCTCCTCTGTCTTCCACTGCCCCTTCGGGGTAGCGACAACCCCCAAATCCAGTTGGATCGGGGGTACCTCAGTGGTGAGCGCAGCAGGGACCCGCAGAGAAGCGGATTCCTGCCGCCGCCGAAGCCTTGCAACTGGAAGTCCTAAAGGACTATGATTATTGAACTTTATGAGGAGTAACATTGGACTGGAATATATTGCTTTTGGACTTCAGTAAGAGCAGGACTTATTAAATTAAGACAAGATGCTCCATCAGGGGAAAAGGAGTGAGATTTGAAATGGTGTTGATGTTTCAAAGCATTAGGAATGGTATGGAAAAGAATCACAGAGAGATGAAGTACCTAATGCAAAGCATATATGGAAAAATAATAAATATGCTACAACGGATGATGAATGAAGATCAAAGAGTCCAGGAAAGAGAGGAGATAGCAGAAAGAACGGGAAAAAAAAGACAGAATGGACAAACCAGCAAACAAAGCAAGAAGATGGGAAGGAGAAGATGATAAAAATAATAATGACTGAAGAAATAAACCAAGAGAAAAGCATTTTAAGAGATTTTAAAAATGGAATCGGGTAACCTGGAAGATACTTTTGAAAGAGAGATAAGGGCTTGGGTGGATATTTTGGAGACCTGGCAGCTTAGGAGGATAGAGATGGGAGAAATATACAGTCTGAATGGTGAAGATACAGA